CACGGGGTCGGCGACAAAGAGCCGTGGAGGGCCCCCGCACGATATCATCCACTTCATGCCCACTCGCCCACTAGCATTGTTGGGGGTTCTTGGGGTTCAGACCAGGCTAGACTCTGCGTGGCAAGTCATTAGGTAGCGTCGTTGTGTGAAGGTAACGCCGAGCTGAGTCCGTTGAACTCCGTTATGAGCTACTGGGTTCAGGTTTCTGAGATTAAGGCCAGCTCTAGGACACATAGTGACATCCAATTCAACGGCGTGCTTCCACTTCCAGGCACCGAGCAATCTGTAGTCTGATGAAGTCTCTGATGAATGCCACACTCTGCCAAGACTGAGCACGTTGATGCACATTATCCTTGCACGGAGATCCTTCGTCGCGCTGGAACCACCTGATGCGAATTACGTACTGGGGAATCGGCCCTTGCTCGGTTAATACTTGTGAACGAGGTCAGCCAACTACCCATCTATCTTTGGCAGCCGGTCGCGCGACAGTTGAAGCCGTTGGAGCCGTCAACAGAGTTTCCAACTGTCAATTTTGCAGGACTGCTAATAGCCCGGCAAGTCAATGAATGAATCTCTCCGGCTGGCAGGTAGAAAACCTCAATGATTTTCCACTGTTTGCTTCTTCCGTTTCTGGAACCCTTACGGGCAGGGCAGGACGGAATTCGGCAGAGACCGGACCGGTGTTTATCACGTTTTTGACCTCTAACCTCAAGACACTCAACTATCGCCGTTCCCGTTGGCTCCCGTTGCAGCCCACACAACATGTCTCATTCGCCACCCGCTCTCTGCGCCGGACTTGGCGTCCCGTTAGCAGCGCGGATAATTGCTTGAGTGTTGAGCTTATCGAACATAGCAGCTTCTTCTGATGGTTGGCGGAGAGGCTTTCGTTGAGGCGGCTATACTTGGCTTGCCTCTAGCCAGTTTTTGGAGGTTTTTTTTTTTCTTTCTCTCCATCTTTTTCCTTCTCGTAAGTTCACTTCTTGGCCACCGGAGTTGGCGACGATAAGTTGAAGAGATAACAGCGCCTGGCCTTGGCATGTGGGGATAACATCAACCTTGTCCATTGAACCCGTCGACAACCGTTCAGGTTCAGGTTAAGCCGGTGCTATTCGCTGAATAATTGTCTTGGTGGACCATCTGAGTCTCGCTAAGTCTTATCCCCCCTCTGGTCCACTTCTTGGTTCGAATTTGTTCGGCGTAACTCCGTCCTGTGGCGAGGTGATTACTGCTTGTTGTTCTTGTCTTGACATGCATACGGATACATGGGGGAAGATATCGTGAGCAGTACATCTGGAAATATCTGGTTGCATCATGGTGGTTGTTGCTGTTCCTGGTGATATGGGGCATTTTCAGTCAGGGTTTGCTTTTGCCAAGCTGCAGGCATTCCTGTTGCTCCTAAATTGTAGCCTAAGGCATCTATGATTTATTGAGTGTGGATATTGGACTCGGTGCAACATGCTGCCGAAAAGTTCACATGTATCGATTACGACCAAACAACGATTTGATAATATAGTATGTAGGTACGGAGTAGGTATATGTGATAGGATATCGACCACTAGCACAAAGCTGGTACTCGACAACGTCTGTTGAGGCTCTTGGTAAGAGGACCACTTATGTCAGGAGCTAATAGAAAAGACCATCGATTACGGGCTATTTTTTGATCAGACGTCGTCATACATTATCTCAAGCGGAGTTGAAAGCTGCTGGGTTACACACATCTGGGCTATTAGGAGTTCACCAGAAATATCCTACTGACCGCCTCGACTCTGAGCGTCATATCACCGCGTGCAGTAGGTAGATATTAGTTTGAGACACGGACAAAAAGGTCCTCGGCGTGCTCAAATTGCTGCATGTCTTTGATATTATCCGTCATTTTTGACGCAGTGAAATCTACATACAGGGTAAGTTCCACAGAAGAAGCACCAGCGAACGGGGCAGCTACAGGGCATATTAGTGGCCAGTACCACCTGGGCATGTGCCGTGGCCAATGACATAGCGCGCTGCAAGCCCCGGACAGCGATTCGAATCAGGAACGGGGGCCTCGATCAGTCAATTGATGATCAACGTCACGATCTATTGGAGGCGGGCCCAGTGACGCACCTCTTTCACACTCTGACAGCACGGTACCCGACCTCTCTTTACCTGCCACGCCCGACTCCTGACTCTGAGGCCTGCCTACGACAGGCGCAGCTTCGGTCGCGTGAGTTTTTGATTTGACCACATGATAGTTTCATACTGCAGATACCTATAGTACCTAAGTATTCAACGGACATTTATTGATCCAGCCAGCTGAACCCAAGGTAACTCCCCAAAGTAAGTACATACCCTGCCTACCTCCTATCGTCTCCTCGGCTGTCTTCTGAAGTCCACCGTTTTCTTTATTTGCTTTTCGTCACATTGTCTCGTGTCTGTATGAGATCGGCTCCTCAGCGCCTTTATCCCACTTGCTTGTGATAACCATTCGCAGATACCCAGGTCGCGAACGGATACAGCCCCTGTCACCGTCTTCGTCTATTAGCAACACAACTGCCGTGTTGTAATTACCTGAGTTCGCATCTTACAGCCTCCCCGCATCCGGACTCTTACCTACGGCAGCTAGATAGCAGCAGCTTTAAAGCATCGAGTGTCTCCTCCAGATCCCAGCGTGTCAAGTTTGTTACAATAACTTCTTGTCGAGCACCGCTGTGATGGGCGCGGAAGACACTGGGGGTGGTGGGCTACCAGCCTCTCCCTCATCCTTTAATCCACGAAGAACCGGCGGCAGTCAGTCTATCGCTCGAGGCGCCAACACACAAGGCTACGACGAACAATCACCTCTACTAAACAATGACGCCAACAATGGCCATGGGGAAGCGGACGATTCACAGGTCACAAAGAGCATATGGTATTTGCTCATATTGACCATCAGCATTGGTGGCCTCCAGATCGCATGGTCTGTTGAGCTTTCAAACGGATCACCATATCTTCTATCTCTTGGCTTGAGCAAATCTCTCATGGCTCTCGTCTGGATTGCTGGACCCTTGACCGGCACCCTTGTTCAACCATATGTGGGTATGCTCAGCGACAATTGCCGTCTGCCCATGGGCAAGAGAAAACCGTTTATGATTGGGGGATCTATTGCCACCATACTCTCACTCCTGTTTCTTGCCTGGGCCAAAGAGATTGTCGGTGCTGCTGCTGGACTCATGGGTTTCGACCCAGAGTCCAAAGATGTGAAAACAACAACTATTGTGGTCGCAGTCATCGGCGTGTACGTCCTCGATTTCGCCATCAACACTGTCCAGGCGTCCATTCGTGCTTTCATCGTCGATTGTGCGCCAGCTCACCAGCAAGAGTCTGCCAATGCCATGGCCAGTCGGATCACCGGATTTGGTAACATCGTTGGATACATTGCTGGGTATGTCGACCTGACCCGTCATCTTGGCTTCCTTGGGAGGACGCAATTCCAGATCCTCTGTGCCATCGCATGTTTTGCCCTCGCCTTGACCGTGTTTGTGAGCGCCGCCTTCATCAAAGAGAGGGATCCCCGACTTGACGGCCCGGCCAAGAAGGAACAACAAGGTGTTTTCTCCTTCTTCTTCACTATTTTCAAGTCGATCAAACGCCTCCCGCCTCAGATTAAGAGGGTATGCGAGGTCCAGTTCTGCGCCTGGGTGGGCTTCTTCCCTCTGTTGTTCTATACATCCTCCTACATCGGAGAGATCTACGTCGAGCCATACCTCCAAGCGAATCCCCACATGTCTCCGGAACAGCTCAACAAACTGTATGAGCAAGCGACCCGTATTGGTACCTTTGCACTTCTGATCAACTCGATCGTGAGCTTGCTCACAAATGTGTTCCTTCCATTTTTCATTGCTCCAACGTACGATAGCCAGCCAGTCACTGGTGTTCCGGGAGAGAGCCCTGCAGGCTACTATGACTCGGATGACGATGAGAAGCCATCGTGGCTAGACAAGCTGGCCATTCCGGGCCTGACTCTTAAGCGTGCTTGGTTTCTGTCCCTCCTTCTTTTTGCTGGGTGCATGTTCGCCACGCTTTTCGTCCGGACCGTAAAGGCGGCCACCGTGCTTGTTGGTCTTGTTGGTATCACCTGGGCGATGACACTGTGGGCTCCATGGGCCATCATCAGTGCCGAGATCAGCCGGAGAGATGCCCTGATACGAGCTCAAAAGATACGATTGGCAGCCGCCAGAGCAAACAATGACGGAACCGCAGATGACGAGGAGGAAGAAATCGACCAGGCTGGAGTGATCCTCGGCATCCACAACATGGCGATTGCGGCACCTCAAATCATTGCTACTGTTGGTTCCAGTATCATCTTCAAGCTCTGGCAGAAGCCCAGAGGCACACCGGGAGACCACAGTATTTCTATTGTGTTCGCTCTTGGTGGAGCCTGTGTCCTGATCGCATCATTTTTCGTTGCCAAGATCAAGGATGATGCTTCTATGCCAGCTGATGTTATGATCGAAGCCGAACAGGGTCGGAGTGGGACAGAAGAGGCCCCAGAACGCCGACCTCTCAGCAGGCGCAAGTCTACCAAAGACCAGCTTCCCAGAGCAACTCAGGCCCGGGCCACACTGACACGACACAAGAGTTTCGGAGGCGCCGAAATGCACTAAGAGCATCAATGCACACACACACACACACTCACACTCATTCACAGACAGAGACGTACACGCCCTTGAGCGAAGCATGGGGAGGCGTAGGGTAAGGCATCTGGATTGGCATTTGGCTCTACTTACCAAGCCTAGGAGCATATGGAGGGATGGAATACCGATTTTCTTTTAGTTAATTTGATAAGTACCTAATGCTAGAAGCCCTAGGTATGATGCTGGGTTATAGGTTGGATGCTAGAACCACAGTTTTATGTTTAAGCTTAGATCAAAACATCACATTCGTTCCTCAGCTCGTCTTGATCTGATATACATCGCTCAAATACCCAAGCCTATCCATCCGCCACCATGACGCACAACATCCTTAGCAGAGCCTACGCCCCGAAATCAATCCACTGGGTTTGGGTCTGCTGACTTGGGACCACACATGCCGATAGAAACCCTTGTCTCGCCAGGAAGAGGACCCAGGGTAGGATTGATGGTGGTGAAAGGGATGAAGCGAAAGCACCACAAGACATCGTCATCATCACCACAATAACTGTAGTCACAGTCGAACGACTCCTTGGGAGCAGCTGTAACAGCAGGGGCATCCGTGTCGCAAGCCTCTGGGTTGTGAGGGAGGGCCAGGGCTGTTGAGGCGAAAAGTAAGACGAGATAGTTGATGGGAAACATTTTGAAAGTTGTGAAGCTTCTGTATCGGACTTGGGCCAAGACTTTCCGTTGCCAAAGTTTCCATGAGAGGAGGGGATCTTTATAGAAAACCATGGGCAAACAAGTGCCACATTCGAGAAGGGTTCCCTGGAATCGATTCAACCAACAGGTACTTGTTTGCGTTGCAGATGATGGCATATAACACTCACATGATACTGCAGCTGGGTTTCATATGGACTAGAACAACAGAGAGCAAGTACAGTAAGCGAAAGGGCGCGTATGGAATCGGCAGATGCGATTTGCACCCACTCTACCCGAGGCAAAGAATTTTACAAGGCGATTATATAAAATGGCCGAGAATTGTGAGACCAGGCGGGAATGCTGTACTTGGGAAGACTGAAAGCCAACTGTTGTCTCTGGTGACCAAGGTACCTATTCAGGTATACACCAGCCCTCATGTGGCTCTCCTTTTACATGGATAGCATCTTGTTTCCAGCCTTCAACCACAACGACATGATAACTCCGATGCTGGTTACCCAAACTAAACTGCGTACCCGTGATAGTCGGGGATTATCCTGCAACCACAGGTAAGCGATGTTGTACAGGAGACGGCTCACAACATAGCCGAGACCGAGGATATTGATTGTTGGCGCTGGTACGGCTGCGAAATTTGCGGCCAAGATACCTGCGGCATAGCAACCGATAGTTTCGAGGCCGTTTTCTGTGGCAGCTTTTGCACGGAGGAGGAATTGTTTATGCTGGGATGGTTAGTGGGAGTTGTGAGTGGGATGGACAGTCAGACAACCGAACTTACAGATTTATCAAGAGTCTGGCAATTGGCGATTCTGTCCTTGTGAGAACGAGGGTTACAGTTGTCGTAGGTCCCTTTGGCACCTGCGGTGATGGTGTAGGCGTGAGGGAACGTGATGATGAAGAATGCAGCTGGGACCTATAAGAAGCATTAAGTTGAGATGTCGTTGATCACGAGGGGAGAAGGGCCGTACTGTGAAGAAGGAATAGTTCCTTGTGAGATCGAGACCGAGAAAGGACTCCATTGTGGTTGATAGGGAGTGAGGGAGTCGTACTGTGATGAAGAAAGAGGTCGACTGAATTGTATGATGGATGGAGGAGACCTCTGTTTTAAATCACAAACAACAACAACAGCAACAACAACGACAAAACTGTTGAGATCTGATGAGACTGAATTATCGTGAGTTCCTGGGAGAATTATCAAACTTGTCCGACAGTTTAATAATCAGGCGTAACTGTTGGTTATTAGACCCGCTTCGAGCATGAACATGCATCCAATGTCATGCATGTCATGTTGAGTTAGCATAACGGTTATGATCAACCCAAAGGCCCAAGTGAGGATAACGACTTTTGAACAACGTGACAATTTCTCACTGAATCCTACTATGTGTCATCATGGAGTGTTCAGTGTTATTTAACACGATGAGAGTAGATGAAAGTCATGTCTACTAGTTACGGTCACTCCTCACTAAGGTATGCCATGGAATGTCAAGAAGAGGTATAGGTACTAAGGTAAAAACCTGGCCATATCGGGTTTGGTGGTGTACCTGATCCATGCCCAACACCGCTAACGTCGATCATCAACATGACTAAAGAAACAGGGGCATTCTCAACGCCTTTCAACATCATCAGCATTCCCCTTCTCACAAATGTCCCCTGGTGATGATATACACACGTTCAGCAATCACGCCACAGAAAACACCCAAAGTAGGCTCGTAAGACTTGCATTGCTAAATACTTCATATGCTCGCATGGCCATCAACCACTTGTAGCCAAGAGATGACTATATATGTATGTACTGAGAAGAGTAAAGGCTGACATAAGAAATCTAGAATCGAAAATGCTTTGACAGATGTTCAATATCTGTTAGAATGTCACGTAAAAACAGCCGCCACCGCCGACCTATATCTTTCCTTCTTGTGTCTGGGGGGTATCTCATATGTTTGTAAAGAATTAGAGGCTCGACCTGCTCATGCAAGATATCGCTTCGAGATGACGGATCGCTTGGACCCGACTCGCCAACCGTTTCCGTTCCAGCTTGCGGTGCCGCTTGGTTGGGACTTGCTGGTCTTGTAGGCTCCGGGGCCATGGTATTGACCATTGTCGTAACTTTGGCCAGTGCTGTAGCCACTACCGCCTTGGCCTTGTTGACTGTCAGAAGAGTATCCATCACCGTTCTGACCTTGCTGACCGTTCTGGGTGTCTTGTCCTGGCTGAGTATTTGTGGGTGGGTTGGTCTGGCCATCACCGTTTCCGCTCTGGCCGTTACCACTGTTGCCATTGCCACTGTTTCCGTTGCCCGAGTTTCCATTACCCGAGTTTCCGTTACCGGAGTTGCCATTACCAGAGTTGCCGTTACCGGAGTTACCGTTGCCAGAATTTCCGTTTCCTGAGTTGCCATTGCCAGAGTTGCCGTTACCACTGTTACCACTACCGCTGTTACCGCTGCCAGAGTTGCCGCCACCGGTAGTTCCGTTACCACCACCACCACCGCCGCCGTACGAGCCTCCCTGGATGTAAACCTTGATGCTGTTTACAAGCCAGTAGGCGTTCTTGAAGTCGGCAGGGTTGTTGGCAACATAGTCCTTGCAGTCTCCCAAAGACGAGGTCTCTGGGTTCTTGCCCCAGACATCAGGGGAGCCAGCCCAATCACCACAGAAAGTGGTATCAAAGACGATGTTGTTCTCCTTGAAGTGATCGTCGATGTTGCAGCCTTGACCGCCGTTGAATTTGGCAGCGGGAGGACCCCAGGATGAAGGGGTGGGGTTACCGGACTGGATATCTTGCGGGATGCGACCACGGTGGAAGAACCATACAGCAATGTGGTCGGATGTCCACTCAGTGGCGTAGACCCCGCCGCCGATGTCATTGAAGCCATCGCCGTAGTTCTGGTTGTCTGAGGTGTCCTGGCCACAGCCGGCGGAGGCACCAGCCGAATCGCAGTTCTCGGACTCGAGGGTCGTGCCCTGAGTGGTGCCATCATTGGTGATGCTGCAGCCAGGTCCTGTGTGGAGACTGATCTTGTTCTCAGTCTGAGTGTTGACACCCTCAAGGATATCAATTTCGCCAGAGGTTGGCCAGTTGGGGCCGAACATCCAGTATGCAGGCCAGACACCGGGGATGCTGCCAGGCATATGGGCGATATCGGCGACGAAGAGACCGTGAGTGAAAGCGTCGCGAGAAGTGACACGGACAGACCTCCGGCCGTTGGAGGGGTTCTTTGTCTGGTAGTCTACACCCATGTAGACAGCACCATCGACATAGCCAGCCAAACCCTCAGAGTTGGCGGCGTCGGCATCGACGTAGTCAACAAAGCCGTGTGTAGGATCCTCCTCGTTGAAGAACTCAAAGGCCTCGAAAAAATTGGAAGAGTCGTATGTAGTCTTGAGGGAGTACTGAGAGTAGGAGTTGTTCTGTGCAAACGCACTATTGAACAAGGCCGTGAGGCCCAGCGCGAGGATGGAGGAATGCATTGTGGAGTCTTTGGAGAAAGAGAAAGAGAAAAGGCAAAAGAAAAAGCCGACAAGAGGAGTGTTGTGTTGTCCCTAGTTGACTATTCACAAGATCGATTCTGATTTGAAGCTGAAGTTTTGAGTGTGAAGGAGAGAATGCGATGAAGTCGTTCACAGAGACAGATGATTTGTGCCAGGTGGGTAGGTTGTATCAGAGCGAGGCTGATCCCTTTAGAAGGTCGAGTGCAATGAACAAACGGTTTATAACAATAGATCCGTGAACGACCATTCATCACCTATTGTCTGAACGAGGGAATCCCCAGCCAAAAGGGGAGGGAGGGCTGGAGCTTGAGCTGGAGCTGGAGGGGGAGGCTATTGAAGTGAGTGACAATAGCTCTGGCACTGACGCTGCCAAGGAGGGAGGGAGGGAGGGAGGGAGGGAGGTAGGTAGGTAGTCCAGCGATATAACTACTGCTCCTAGTCAATAGGAAAACAGCAACAAAACCAAGTAAAAAGAGAGTGGATGGAAGAGAATGATAAAACAAGGACGGTCAGCCAGCTACCAAAAGGATTGAACGGTGATGGCGACGAATGCAGCCAAGAAAGAAGTCAAGGAGTGGATGTGTCTTGTCTAAGTTTCCAAGAACAGCTCAGCCTCAGAGTAACCAGACACTGAAGACGGAAGAAGCCAAGGCAAGGCAAAGAACAAAGACAAAGACAGAGAGAGAGAGAGAGAGAGAGAGAGAACAAGAAAGAAAGAAAAAAGAGTGAGGTTGGTTATGGTCTAGTAAAAGGAAGGGCTTCCAAGGAGAGGAGGGAATGCGGGAGCTATGTATAAGTTTATGTCTCTGATATGGACCGGAATGTCTTACAGCCTCTCCTTTTGAACGCCAAGCTATTTTGAGAAACGAGACTAGCCATGTTTCTTTGTTACTCTCCCACCCCTTGTCTCGTTTGGGCTTCTATCAGTTCATGCTCTACGGGATAGAATAGAGATCAGATGGATACTAGTGCTCGTGCTGTGCATGCTAAAAGATTCCGAAACAATAGCCAAGGGGGTAGGGGAGGAGCCCTTGAACAAGTCAGGACTCTTCATATAATAGAGTGCCACCAATAGAACCTCCCACAACCACTTTTGTCCAGAGGCTCTGATGCGTAGCTTGACAGTTCCGACTCAGAGAGGGCCAAGGCCAATCACTCCAACGGAGAAAAAGCTTAGCGGAACCATATACGGCTTGGCGTGCCTGGAGATGGCCGGTTCAGGCAGGGAGATAAATAAGTCGAGGCCTGTGGTAGGCCCATATCAAGTAGACGAGCGGGTTCAGGGGTTTGCATCCACTAGAGAGCACGCTATTTGACAGTGGAGTGAGTGTGTGGTAGGGAGGGGGTTTTAGTGAGTACTGTACCTTACTAGCTCACCTAGCTCGAGGGCTTTCAGATGGGACGAGAAACAGCTGACGACGAAACAGAAACATTCCCGCTCAGCTGAGTGAGGTGTAGGTTGTGTTTTCCTGGAATTCTCTATTGTAATATATTGATTATCCATCTGAATGCTATTGTTCTTGAATTCGTGAATCATACAACTAACTACTACCTAAATATTTAGGTACACCCAGTCTATCAGGGACCCAGACTTTGGTATCCATAACAGCGCTTCTACATACTAAACTTGACTGCATGTACTCCGTATAGCCGCGCGCTCAACTCGTTTCTATCCCTGTCTCTCCACCTGATGCCATCCATCTATAACTACTAAGGTACCTATCTTAGGGAGTTAAAAGCCCAGTCCAACAAGCAAGCAAGAATAAAGAATGTCCAGACAAAGCACCCAGCATATAAATCACAAATTACATAACCTGATCTTGACCCCATCTTGAATCGCTCATATTTAAGCTAGGCTGAATTCATTCCTTACCAAGACATTTCAGTCACTTACTTAGCCTCGACGCGCGTTATCCAGCCGCCGCCACACTCATGCAAACAATGACCTTCCTAGGTATTCTGAAACATAGTCTCAGGAATGGAAGCAAGGCTAGACCTTTCTATCCCTTCTTCCTGCCTGGCCTACCTTATCTAGCACCTCTTTTGGACACTCGCACATATGTACGGTACTGTACTCACGCTGCTGACCTCACCGCAAAACCTTTCTGCCACCTCCGTTCTCTCTCATCATCTTGGATACTCCAACATTTCCACTTGATGAACCTTGAAATTCGATAAAAATCTGCCACTACTGAAATGTATGCAGACATCTATCGTATCTGTCCTCTCCTGGCAAGGCTAGTCTACTCTTAGTACCTACAGTAACTACTTCAACGGGCGGAGAATCAACTTCTGGGTCTATTTTTTCCGTGCCGTGGTCCCGAAGTCACATCACATCCCGGCAGTTATGATCTCGGCTCTACGTATAGACTAGACGAACAAGATCGACGTCTTTCTCAAGGTCCAGGACCACCTCCATCTTTTTAGACTTTTAGAATGTCGTGATATTTCCCCTGATTGTATGGAGCCTCGCTACGCATATTGTATCAGCTTGATCTGTATCTGGGATTATCCTTGCCCAATAATCATCCATCATCCATCATCCATCACTTCCGAAGGATCTCACTCATTCGACACAAAACAGTTTCACCCCACGCATCTCAACACTACTGTACCTACCTAACAGTATCGGACAATTCCCCCGTAGGTGGTTAAACATTTTCTTTCGGACCGACCGCAATCCCAGCTACTCGGGTATATACTGTACTGCAATTAAGGTACATAGTATACGGAGTATGTATGTTCTTTCTAATTGACAGCCACATGAAACTCTACATACATCCTCCTCCACAACCTAACAACACCCCTTTCATATCTATAAAACACTTCCCATCTCCTCTCATTTCATACCATGAGGGTTCGGTAAGCAGGCGATGCTTCCAAATTCAAACCTCTCCGTGCGATATGCAGCCGAGATTTCTCCCTTACGTCCATCTCTCTCGACTGTCGCGGCTCTCTTTCTAATGCCTCGTCTAAGTGGGTATATGCAGTCGAGAAAAGAAAAAGTGCAAATCATGTACCGAACTCCGTGGCAACCATCAGCACAGTCATACCATCAGACTGCTTTTCGTGTCCGTGTCCGTGTCCGTTCCCCGTATATCGTCTCGCCGAGTTGATGCGTCTATACCCCAACAACAAACAATCAAGAGTAAATCGTCGCTTCATTCATCTCACAGCTTCATTCAAGTGCTCTTCACAACTTGACCTTCTTGCCGGTGAGCTTGAACCATATGACCGCAATGAGATCCTCCTTAAAGCGCTCCCATGGGTTTCGGTTGAGCCAGTAACTGAACTCACGGTAATAGTACATCTCGCCCCAACAGTCTCGGCCCCATTCGCACCCTGCCATATTGACCAGGAAATCGCGCTGGTTCTCCTCATAGTGGATGTGCTTATCCTTGGGACCGCCATCGGGGTTGCAAGCTCCCGGTGGGAAACTGTTGATCTTGCGCTGATGTAGGAACCCGACATGCTTGCGCACCCATGGTTGCGTCTGATATAGCTGATCCAGCGCATCTTGCTCTTTGTGTTCCCACTGCATGTGCTTCTGCTCATATGTAACAGGATCCCACCAAACGTCGAGCAGTCTGTCCGTCCAGTCGCTGCGCCGCATGAAGAAGGATCCGAGGTTGAAGCCGGCGCAATCCTGTGTCATGATCATATTGATCGAGCTGGCCTTAGCATCGCCAACAGGGCTTCGCGAGACCTCATCCAGATAATGATGGGTGAAAGGATGCGATATGTTGCGAGGGTTGAAGTAGTTGATGTCGCGCTCGACTTTTGTCTGCAGGTGGTTGAAGATGTGGTCTTGAAGTGATACTGAGGGCTCCATGACGAGTGTGTTCAAGTCCAGCCACCAAACCCTGGCATCGAGTTTAGTCTTTTATTCAGCAATACACACAGCCAGGGTCAGCTCACCATTCAGCCTTGGGATACTTCCTCAAGGTCGACCGAATAAAGTCGACTTTCTCCCAGCTCTCCCGCCACTCGTGCGCATACTTCTTCTTGGTGCTCATGTCCACAATTTCCAAGTCGTAGCCCCATCGGTTGACGTACTTTCGCTTGTTTCGCACGCTGTCTCGCTCGATAGCCCATTCTCTGGCACCCTTCCACTCCATGACACCACCTCCAACATTTGCGCCCAAGATAATGACAAACTTGTTGCCGCCACCAAACGATCTTCTCCAGTAATATACAAGAGCTGTAAATGATCAGTCATAGCCCGAGACCTCAGATAGGCCAGGGGCAACTTACGGGTTGTGTAGAAAATGGTATAGCAGAGTGTCGCTAACAGCATGAACAGTAGAACCATCTTTAGTCTTCTGCCCATGCGCCCATAAATCGATCGTATTCTACCGGCGAGTGGAACCTTTCGAATCCATCTTGGCCCCCGTGCATGCTTTTCCTTCAAAGTCTCACGCTGCCCGTTAAACTGCGGAAGACTGCTCGATAGTCGTCGCATGTGTCTGCTGAAGAAACCCTTGTTTTGAGTCGAAAACGAAGAAAATGTGCTAGAGTTGTGAGGTCGCATCTTGGCCGATTCCCATACAACAGGACCACCGCTCACGTTCGCTGGAGTCGACCTCCCGCTGTCAAGGCTCAAGCCTGGACTTGACCAGCCACCACCGGGAACAGGCGAAGGGCTTCGCGAAAGGGTCATGGAAGGACCTGGGGTATCTGTAGGAGGCGGGCTCAGCGATTAGCCCGCGAACTAGGTTGACTGCAGTTGACGGTCCATGGAAGTTAAAGACAAGCAAGATATATCTATTGGGGGGGGGAAGAAGAGGGAGAAGGAAGGAAGAAGTGAGAGCAATGGGCTTAGGTAGCTGATAAAGCAAGGATGATCAAGAACAAGTTAAGGCTGAGGCCACGCAGAAACTAAGGCGGAATGACGGGCACAAGAGTATGTATAAAAAGAGACAGTGGGGAGGATAACAGTCCAAAATACAGTATGGATGGTGTAAGGGGATCCGCCAAGAAGCCTCAAGGTATGAGAGCTGAGACATTGACAAGACAACTGGAGAGCGTCACGATCAACTGTACGTACCTGGAACTGGAGATAAGGGACTGTTGTGAGGCTGCTGTGGCCTCTGGGGATCGGAGGATAGCAAGCCAGGGTTGATCACGATATGGCTGACAGAAGACCGTTGTCTGGTATGAAGTGCACGGGAAGGCCGATCGCTAAACGAGCTCGAAGAGCCGAAGGGTGAGCGTGATGAAGCCAGCTTGTTGAGCAACGTCGCAATCGGCGACTTCTAAGAAGGGTGCCGCTTATGCCGGTTATCGCGAAGTGGAGGGTGAGGGGCAGCAACTCTCGTGGAGGGTCGCAATCACGAGGATCAAACTGCTGTGATAGCAAATGCTTGGTGTTGTGTGGTTTTCCCCCCTTCCCTCTTTTCCCCTTCTCATTCGCCCACTCTGCTTCTTCTGCCCAGAGTCGCAGGAACGAGAAATTCGCCTTGACGCCACAAACGTCCCGACTTTTCCACCTTGGCAAGGGAGGGTATACAGACGTTGTCCAAAGTTGTTCAGCTGGAAATGTGGCGCAGAGTCAGAATATAGTAGGCGGAATGGAATATCGGGGGTCGTGACGGGGCGATGGGTGGCAGCACCGTATACGAAGATTGAACGACGTTGGCAGGTATACGGGTATGGGATGGTCGATACGATGCAACGCGATGATGGTGACAGAAATAGGTTAGAATTTCCCGTCGTGGTGGGTGGATGATGGGAGAATCCGCAGTGAAGCAGGGCAGTGATGGTGCAGTTTTCTTTTTTGGCTTTATCGTATCAACACTAATAAGGTATCCCGGTCTGACTAGTTAAGGTAGTAGCTACAGTAGCTTCAACGATGGAGCTTCTCAAAGATTCGGTGTAGTTATTTGGATTGGGTTGGCAACATCGCAGAATGCACCGGTAGGTACCTAGCTAGGTAGGAATAAAACGAGTGTGGTGCACGGAGTCGCAGTGTCTTGAGGTGTAATTGTTGAACGAGCAGTGATCCGATGCGATGCGATGCGACTGCGGGAGCAACGGTGAACAACGGTCGGTGTAAATGCAGTCGAGTCTTGTCGCAACCGGATCTGAGTAAGATACAAGATACTGCATTGACCGGAGTACACTAATAAATTAGCCGAGTCAGACACTTTGTTCAGTGTGTTGGATGTGAAGCTCGTATCGCATTGAATCGTACCGTATCGGTCAATGTAGGTTCGCTTCGTGATGGACAGTCAAATTCAGGAAAGGATGAGGGAGAGTGCAGCAAGTCCAAATTATTATAACAGAGACCAAGAAAACTCAAACAAAGGCCATCTACCTACCACCGCTCTCAGGGGAGGGGGAAAGCTTTTTCTCTTGCTTCAAGGTTCCCTTCTCATAAATAATAGGGGGATCCTGGACTTTCAAAGCCAAGAAAATAGGTAGCTACCTATGCTACACTTGGTTCTAATCCGATCCCGAGAACTTCCCTTTCTTGAGAAGACCAGGGGATACCGTACTCCATCTCTGTGTAACAAAAGATCCTTTGCATCCAATGCAGGTACAGACACAGACACAGGTACAAGTCCCTTGTTTGTCAGTCCCCAAGAAGATGACAAGCTGCAGTCAGCCTCTTCGATACTGTTGCATTGGGAATTGGGTGACCTCTACTGGAAAAGGCGACATTTCTCGAACCTTAGTACTGGACGCGGCCGGGGGGCATTGGTTAAATTTCCTGTGCCATGCCCTTCTATTTCTTAGCCTTGGACCCCTATCTTATTAGGTAGGTACTAAAGCAGACCAGGAGCTCATCTTCTCCAATTGAATCTGCCAAGACAATTTGATTGTAAGGATGCGATCAAAGAGTGCCAACACTGCCAGTCGGAACCGGTTACTTTTCTTGTAGGGCAGAAATGTGTTGGGTTGGTGATTCTTCTCTGCTTCTTGAACTTCTTTTTCCAGGTGCTGATGCTGAGATTGTGTATCCGTAAACCCACTGACGTATCAGAACTCTTACCTCTGATTGCCTTCGTGGACCGGGCATTTTGACAGTTCAAGAACCCCACAATCCTCACTTGAATTTCAGGTTCAGGGGGGTGTAACCGTTAACGGAAAGCCAAGAGTTGGCTGAGGAGAGTGAATTGAGTTTGGAACCAAGAGCGTGTGTCATTTCAAACATCATTCACGATGGCAGTCTGCAACTACCACAGTACATACTCCGTATATACATTCATATTTATATGCCGACGGGACGTTCATTCTTTATTAGCTTTGGTGGGTTACATCAAGCCAAACCTACGAGCCGACCCTGAACCTGTCAATCACAGCTTGAGCCTCCAATGGGCATTAGCATCGGTGTCATCTCACCTGTCAGATGAAAGAAAGGCATAGATGACTGGTGTGCAAACACCTGCCTGTTAATCTTCCCCTCACAAATCCATGCAGAGTGAAGTGTCCTCTGGCACGTGATGCATTATAGATGATCTTCAATTTCTCTTCGCAGCTTCACTGGGTGCACCAAGAACCAGGAAGCCCTTAGACAAGTGTCTCCAACTGGCGGCCTCTTGCAAAGCGTACCTGGATACTCTAGAACCAAATCATGAGACACCGGCATGACGTGCAACACTGCCCCGAATGGCCATGATGGCTTCTGAAGAAGGGCGAACTCGATTTGGCCAGGCCAGTTTAGCGACCCGTTCGGCGCCGGGGGCTCAGAAAGAATCTCTTCGTTTTGAGTACGCCTCAACAAACAAGAGTTTGTCAAGTCTCTGCATGCCACATAGGTACCAATTGTATCCATGTTGTGGTAGTGAGGCCCTTTCATCTTGACCCAGTCATACTGTCCATGGCCAATATACCTGAAATCACGTCACGACTGACGATGCCAAAGTTGACCTGATTGAACCCGCCCGAATCAACTCTTCAATAGCAGTCAGTACCAGCTTCAATCAAGCGTGTCTTGATTTCATAACAGGCCTTGTCTCGACCAGCCAACAAACACCACAAGCCAGGCCGAGTGGCTCTTTTCGAGAAGGAAGACCAACGCTTTTGTATCCAACATGTGACTGTACAGTACCTTACTGTACCTAATGATTGACAGACTAACAGCAGCCGGATGCCGGACCCTTTCCCCCGAATACACTCTGGATCGCGACAACAGCCAATTGAGCATTCTCCCGCCTCTCCATCAGAGACGCGACTTGGGCTTTTGCCTCAAGACCAATCTCCCCTAGTCCCTGTTGACTCAATTAATTCTGGTTCGAGTTACGGAAACCCGTCGCAGATTCTAGGCGTGCAGTGGTCGCCAATACAACGGCCTACCTACGTACGAATCACACACACACACACACACACACACACACACACACGCCAATGTCGGCGCTTAGAATTGACCAATCACACCCTCGAACCCCAGAAGGATGGCGGCTATTCCACACTCTCGGTTGCCCCAGGTCATTGAATCCATAGCCTATGAGCTATTGTTCAACGTTTGGACCTCAAATGCTTTATTTAGCCTGCATCGAATCGATGCGGGCTTCTCACCAGAGTCCAATCAAGATGCTTTGCGCCCTTGGCTCTGCTCGATCCTGGTGCTTTTGCTTTTACCTGGGACCATCTGAAGGTCCACAAGCAACAAAATGCAGTTGCTCGAGGTGCTATTATCGCCCACATCCTCACTGTGATTAACTTCCCTATTGTCGTAGTTTTCATCCATCCTCCTCCTCCTCTTCAAGTCATACTTGCCTACCTACTCTTTTCATTCTCTCTTTTGGTTTCTTATTGTCGCTGTCGGTCTTTGATTGTGAACAAGCTATTCTTGTCACTTCCTATTGTTCACACTCTCTCCTTTGTTCTACTACATTCATACCACCACTAATTGGCATTTGTTCTGTATCGTTTGCTTCCCACAACATACTATCTATCATCTAGACGGTCAAGATTTTGACATTCTTCATCTTCATCTAATCAACGACGATATAGTCAAACAAACACCAAACGATACAATTTCCATACGACCGCCAGCCATACATGTCTAAACACTAGATACTGTTAGCTTTCCTTCTCGTTTTGCCTCCCTTTTTCTATTCAAAGACTGGTATTTACACCATGAACAACGATACTCATAATCAAGTCCCGGTACACCCACCACCGTACTCGGAAGCCCAGCCACGGCGTCGAGAAGAGTGGGAGGATTGGGAGGATGACGAGCCTATCACGCCCATCGACGCTGGGGAGCAAGTCTCTCCAGCTCCGCTGAATGTGTCTACTCGAAACTCCAAACCCTCAACGCGACGTGCATCAAGAGCTTCTGCTGCAAGGATTGTCCGAGTCAAATCACGCCAGAGACAGAAGGTCCAGAATGCCAAGGCAGGCATCAAGCTTATCACAGACATGTCGACATTTCGCCGCCAGAACTACATGCCAACGCCGGTAGGACGAGCTGGGAAATTTGTAGACGCTGCTGCTCTAAAGGCATTGGAGGGAGAACCAACATCGGCTTCAGTAGGAAATTGGAATTGGTTCAAGAAGAGCAAGGACCAAAGCCCAGCAACTGCTTCACCGCTGTCATCAGCCCAGCCAGCTCGATCAGCACGTACACCAGACAATAAGCTCTCGCCGGATGACAGACCCATCGTCATTGGTCTGGCTCTCTCATCTGAGGAAGCGGGCAACTCTTCCCGG